GTCCTGAGCGTCGCGCTGATCACCCTTGGTCGACGGTAGAGAAACCACCACATTGAACGACGGAACAAAAATAGCGAGATCATGACCTCTCTACTCTCTTTTTCAAACGCGGATGACGTGAATGTACGTTAGGAGCCCGTGTACTTCGTGTGGCGGGGTGCACTGTATCACTACGCGCATCGTAAATCAGTTAATCAGATGCATTGCATCAACGGATGTTAATAGTCCACAAGTTCACACAATAAATGTGGTGTGCACCAGAAAAATAGCCTATATATATATATATATATATATATATATATATATTATATATATATATATATATATATATATATATATATATATATATATATATATATAATATATATATATATATATATATATATATATATATATATATATATGAAAACCATTTTGAAGCCGGAAGATATATATACTTAGGAGACTCTAATTTAAAACCGAGAATAGACTCAACAAGTAGGGACAAACGCATTTATCAGTTATAATCATGCATGTAAAGATACTAGCATACACCCTAAGGTCACATGATCATCATATCAGTAATCAATCATTATCTCAACACATAAGCACACTTTAGTGGTGCCGCAGGACCAATCGCATGCCCATACATGAGGGTCAGTGCATATAGTGCTAAAACGGCCTCGAAGCACACTGCCTCGTACCGCATCACGAAGGGGTTGATCGCAACCAACCGATGAACCGCAGCTCATCATAGCGTTTGATCGCAACCAAACGGTGGACCGTAGCCCTATATAATATTTATATACCTGACCGATCGCAACCGGCCTGGTTAACAGCCGATGGTTCTCAACCCATCCAACTACCCGTATAGCCAATTTGATCGCAACCAAATTGGGGTATCATGCACACATAACACATAGCAAGCACATGCAACCCACATTAGCACATTGGGAAGGGGGGAAACGTATAAATAAAACTTATGCGTGGTCATCCACATACTAGGAATATTCCTAAGGGGTTCATACATCTTTCACCTAGGCCAACGGGATACCAATTCAACTAGCATGCAATACACAAGACTCTTTTATCCTACGAATGGTACCCGAAACATCAAACTAGACTCAGGCACGACAAACGGGGTCCGTTGGGAAAACACGGGGAACGGGGAAAACCACCATCCACACTGGGAAAAACTAGCAGGTGGAGGACTACCCGCCGGCGGCGCTCTTCTGGGCAACGGGTGCCCGACGGGCAGTCGCCTGCCCGCAGGCTGGTGCCGCTGGGCAGCGGGTAGGTGGCGGGTTCCCCTACCCCCACTGACTCTTTTGTAATACTTTGGTCCCGGGATCTTTCGTGGAACCCGAAACCATGTCTAGGCACTTTTTAAACACAAACGACGACACCACGTAGTCAAATAATGAATCAAAACCAAGAATCACCTTAAGTACATCCTAACATGACTTCTAAACATAATTAACACCAAACATGCAAAACCCCACCAAACAGACCAAGAATATCACAATACGAAATCCACGATTTAACCTAGGGCTCTAATCATGTTTAAATCACAACATCATACTTTATCTTTAAAATCAAGAACATCAAGATTCATCAAGACCAATCACACAATTATCAAGATCCTCTCATAATCATCAAGATTATCAAGACCAACACATAAGATCATCTCATAAACATCAATATCATATCACAATCATCATAAAAGCCTTATCAAGACACAAGTATAGAATTGCATATCAAAGGAGCCAAAGAAGAAGATTACAACAAGGAAAATAGGTTTTGTTGAGACATGGGTTACCTCTTAGCCTTAATTAGAATCCTTGGCTACTAAGGTTCTTTCTCTAAGATCTCCTCTTCTTGATTTCTCCTACATTTGGTGATAGGGGAATTCTTGGAAATTCTTGTGTGGTGGAATCTATTGTGGTGTGAATTCTAGGTGCCTCCTATGTCCTTATATATATCTAAGAGTCCTACTTAGGGTCTGAATGGTATGGATTTACTAATTCTATTCCTTGTAGGACTAAGGGTTTGGTTTAGGGATAAGGGTCCATGGTCTATGGTGGACCCTTCCTAATTAATTAAGGGAATTTAATTCTCTTTTAAGGGTGAGGAATTAAATAATTAGTTTGGGTTAGAGGCCGTAACACGGGGTGCTACAACAACACTCAGGCGATTCAAAGACAGCGAATCGAAACCTAACCCTAGAGGTTATCTCTCATCAATTCGTAGTCCTAGAGGAAGACTTGAAGAACAGAAGACTCAAAGACCTGAAGACTTGAAGACAAAGGCCGAGAGGTTGCAAAAAGACCAAATCATGGAAGGGTTTACCTCTTGTGTTATCAAGGCCGAATGATAAAGGCAAATCATTCGAGGTGTTACGGGACAAATTGGTAAAGTCAACCAATCATGTTTGAGTGAATAAAATGCTCGAGACGATAGCCAAAGCTAACGACTCGATAGGACAATTCAGAGACATTCTCCGTGCGAGAATAGTCCGAAACCTTAAAGTAAGCAAATGTGCTTAAGACAAAACATGTCCTAGGTACATATTCCAAGTCAACTTTCATTAAATGTCACGTTCTTGGTGCAGAACAAAAAGTTAAGTGTTTAGCGCATTTTATGGACCAACGCTTGGAAAGTATTGTAACTCACGTACACTCAAATTACCCAGCGGTCTCTAGTCACTGGTTAATAGGGTTTTAAAACTTTGTCTTCCCTCCAATGAAACCATTTTTCATACCTATAAATACCCCCTTCCTATATAGAAGGAGGTGCTGGTCTTTGAAAAACATTCAAGTGTAAAAGCTCTATTTGAAACATTAAGCTATTTGTGACCAGTTGAGAGAGAAGAATTCGCTAAGTTCACTATCCAGATCTACGAAGGCTTGTGCTGCTTCAAAGTTCCATCTCCAGATTCCTAGAGCCAAGCTTCTCAGTTGGAGGAAGAAGAAATTTACATCTTCATCTTATTTCCTCTAGATTCGTTCACAAACCCTTCGGGACCAACATAGTCAAGAATCCCCAATCCCTTGAGGACAACATTGTACACCCATACACTCACTATCATATCTTTGATACATCATTGGAGAATTCACATATTTCCTCGGTCTTCAAATAAAGAAATTAGAAAAAAGTTTGTTTTTAAACTAGTTGAAATATGTAGAATACATAGCTCAAAGATTTGACTTAGATTATGCGAAGGTTGCCCATAAACCTATATCTTCTTTGACAAAGATTTTAGGAGATGACTTTGGAAAATCAATTGATTCAACTATGTATCGTAGTATGATTGGTGGCTTACTTTACCATAGCCAACCTGTTATACTCTATAGTGTAAGAATGTTTGAATGATATCAAGTGAATCCAAATGAATCACACATGGTGGTTGCAAAATGAACCATTAATGCGTTTAGTTTTTGAAAAAAAAAACAATCTCTTTCTAGAAAAACGGAAAACATAAAATGTGTTTTTAGCACTATTTCTCAATTTTCCATTTGAAAAACTATTTTTCGAAAGTACAAAGGTTTTAGAAAACAACTTTTTCTTGTTTTTGTCATTTTTCAAATACATAAACACACATAACTTTACCTATAACCAATATTACTATTACCTACAACAAACTTCTACTTTACTTATCTATTTACTCATATTATCTACCCAACTATCTATCTATATACCTCTACCACCACCTACCTACCTTATCACCACTTATATCTACTTATCCTCCCATCACTACCATTATTCATACTATCTACATATTTACTACTATGATTATATATAATATTATCTTTTTTTTTTTATTACTCTACCCATATTATTAGGGATGATAGCATGTAGGTACTTGTCTGTTCAGTCACTTACAAACGTGAATTTGAAAACATTTAGAACTACCCGAATAGATATTAGGTGTACTCGTTCCAAACTCGATTGACACTACCAATATAGTACTCAAAATTATCTCGAAACTTATTAAATTTAGATAGAGAATTTAACTACTACCTAAACATGTTTCAAACCCGGCTATCAACTATTAAAACACATCTTACTAGGGTTCTGGAGATTAGACACACGGTATTAATTTATCCATTGTCATTCATATATAGTATTTTATCGATCAAATTAAAAATTGAAGGATAGCACTCAAAATTTTGAATATTTAAAATAAAATTTATATATAACCAGACTTGATCCAATGTGCATATATGACTACACTACTCAATATTATTGTCACTTACTACTAGAATTATTTATAGATATAAAAAGAAAATCGATAACACATAGGTTTTAATAACTCTGTATTTTTCATTTAATATTTTTGTGATGTCTTTTCTCTCATCTTAATTTGATGAATGTTTGCTTAAAATATTGTGGCAGGTTCAGGAATCAGGGAGCCGAAGCATGGGATTTAAACCATAGTAATATCCTCTTAATGGCTCAGCAAACAGAGCTAATTGTCGGTACTCAAAAAAATTTGTCTACTTTGAACATAATCCCTACACTGCTGAGATTCGAATTTTAACTTTTTCTTCTAAATATTGTCTATTGAACCATTGAGCTAAGTTCCTGCGAGAATATCTTCTTTCCAGATCACGATAGGGGTGCTCACGGTTTGGTTCGAACCGAACCGTTACTATTCCAACCGAATCAAAACCGGAATCGTACGTACAGTTCCGGTTCCAGTTGGAACTGTGTATATTATATATTATATATTAGATTATATATTAGATATTATATACGGAGTATTATATATTATATATATTAAATATCATATATTATGTATATATTCTATAAATATAATATTAAAGTCTAAATACGGAGTAAGCACTAAGCAATAAGTGAGTAACATTAAAAAAAACACGGGTTAGAACCGGCGGTTCCGGAACCGGACATGAACCGCCGAAATAAGATTTCGGTTCCGGCTATCTTAGAACCGCGAACTGGCAGTTTCGAATTGGAACCGAACCTTGGGCACCCCTAGATCACGGTGAGAGAGAGATAGAAATGAAACAAGAATTTGATTTACATAACTCTTTCATTTAAACCATGAATCTACTGATAACCTATTTCATAATAATCTGAATTAATATTCATAACCACTAAAACATGAAAGATCTGCATATTATCTAAGGGCTTTGAATCAAGGTGTACTAACTTGTGAACAGAACTGGGATGGGATGGTATACAGGTATAGCTCTGATCTCTAAACCTCGCTGTTTTCCTCCAACGGAACTGTACATATAGCTAGCTTGAAACTTGAAAGCCAAGATCCAGTTTGCAAATTTGGGACTCCATCCATCAGATTCTCAGAGCAAGTGTCCCAGTACAGATGGATGCCACCAGAAAAATGCAGCCAACAAAGGGTTGCAGATTAATGGGCGACATGGATATTGTGGAGGTGTTTCCAAGAGGAATGCCATCTCCCATGCCAGGCATTTCCCCTCCAGGCACAGGATAGCTTGCATTCAACAATGGTGGAGGTGTGCCCGAGCTGCAAAACCAATTGAATAATCAATGGTAATAGATGAACTCAAATAAGGATATATATATATATATATATATATATATATATATATATATATATATATATATGATGCTGGGGGATGGTCCCTTACTCGGGCAATAATCCTGTTCCAGATGATGAAGCTGTGGTTGGAGGTGTAGTGGGCGTAGTGATCGGAGCTGATGGAGTTGGATTTTGTGTCGGCGGTGATGAAGAAGATGAAGATGAAGACGGAGACGAAGATGAAGATGATCCTGATGTTGGGTAAACACAAGAACCCGAGCCTGGGCGCAAAAGATCATCAGATCAGAACTGGTAAATTGTTAGGATCAAGTGTTTACCATTACTCTAAAAAGTATAGTTCAAAGTTAAGGAATAATTTTTTAGCCTTTTATCGGCTTCTACCCAACATTTCCCCCACTTTCAATACCATTTGTTAGGATCAAACACTTAAGATAAAAGTTATAGCTACCAGCGAAGACGCAACTTTAGTTCTTTATACTGCCACCACATTTTCAAGAGGAAAGGTGTTAGATTTAACCCTTCATTCGCCTCAGCCCAACAATCCCCAGCTACAATTTGTTGGACTTGGTCCTTTACTGGCCTCCGCTCGACCTTTCTCCTCGTTCAGTACGTACCATTTGTTACAATCAAACACTTATCACTAGGCTAAAAGCTATAGCTACTAGTGAAGACGTAACTTTAATTTCTTATACCACTATCACATTTTCTAGAGATAAGGTGTTAGATTTGACCCTTTACCTGCCTTCTCTCAATAGTCAATACTCTCCTAAACCCCAATTGCTAGACTTGACTATTTACCGGTCTCCGCCCAATACAAAGTAAGACAAGACAATTTATCATCAACAAATAAAACATTAAAACCGCAGCTTTTCAAGATTGTGTGTGTGTGTGTGTGTTTGAGTGCAGCTTACTTGGATTTGTACTAGTAACCATGGCAGCTCCCCCAAAGTCACAGCTAGTGGGCACGGGATTCTTCTGATAATAGCTATTAAATGCGAAAGAAGCATGATTCTGCAGAGAATTTGGGTTGTAGCAGCTCCCACTCTGCTGAATGGTAGAACAATCCGCACCTCCAATCCCGCAAGCATAATCCAGCGCAGATTGCAGAGTAATCTCCGGCACTCCACTCCTCGCCACGCACCAGCTCCCACTCTGACCTCCGCCGGCAACAGCCGGCGGATTGGTCGCCGCAGCCGGCGGCGTGACAGGGAGGCCTCCGGCTCCGGCGGGTGTTGTAACAGGATTAGTGACGGCAGGGAGTGGTGTGTTCACTGGATTTGGGTTTGTGGAGGGGACTGGGAGAGGGGTAGAAACCGGGGTGGGTGGCGTCTGAGCCGACGGGGTTGGGGTTGTGGCCGGGACGGTGACGATGCCTGCCGGAGGGAAATTGACCGCCGGCGGGAGATTGGCTGGGGTTGTGACTGGGTTGGTAACTGGCGTTGTGACAGGGTTAGTAACTGGAGTTGTGGGTGGTGATAGATCTTCCATTAGTTGATCATGATTGATTGGATTTACCCAAGATGGAACATGGTTTTGCACATCTTTTCTGGAGAAATGGAGTGCCTGCAGATGCTGCTTTCCCTTTTCAAGATCTGTGTGTTCATGGAAGTTCATACTTGCAGAAGATGCCCCTTCAAGATAACAACAACCAATTAATGCAATTCAATTACATACTTTGCAATTCTATAATAGGTGCAAATGCAAATCCCTCTACTAACAAATGGTATCTTAGTTAGGTCACGAATTCAAATTTCAACAAAGCTAGCATGTGCTGAAATGAATAATTGTTGGGCGAAGGCTGATGGACAAGTTCAACACTTTACTTTTGCCCTAAGTTTGGAAAATTGTTGGGCGGAAATGGGTAGACCAAGTCCAGCATCCTGTCTCCACTCAACATTAAATTTGGAGATTTGTTGAACGGAGGCAGGTGGGTCAAGTCCAACATCTTACCTCTGTCCTAAGTTTGGGGAATTATTGGGCGAACGGGTGAGCCAAATCTAACACCCTATCTTTGCCCAACATTAAATTTGGAAAATGTCCTAAGTTCGGGGAATTGTTGGGTGAAAGGGTGAGCCAAATCTAGCACTCTGTCTTTGCCCAACACTAAAATTGGAAAATTGTTAGCGGAGGCTGGTGGGTCAAGTCCAGCACACTACCTCTACTCTAAGTTTAGGAAATTGTTGAGCAAAAATGAAGGTGTCAAATCCAGCACCTTGTCTCCACCCAATACTGAGTTTAAAATTGTTAGGCAGAGACAGGTGGGCCAAGTCCAACACCTTACCTCCCGCAACACTAAGTTTGCTTGTAGCATTTAATTGCAGCATTGTAGAATAACCCAATTTAGAGATCTGAATGTTTCTCTTCTTTTTTCTTTTTGAAATAAAGATTATTCATAAATTAAAGATGAGTAACAAGAACATCAAGAAGGGAAGCAGGGGGCACATTCCTCTGAATGTTATGTTGTAGACATTCAAGAATATGAAATGAAATTTCTTCCAAAAACTACAAACACCATTCAATTCTTCTATAATAGATCAATTTCAGAGGCTATATATATGTATTAGTGTGAAACTAACCCATGAATTCAAGAACCATATATACCAAGTTCAAAAGAAGATTACACTACAATACAGATCAAAGAGATCCAAATGGCAAAAAATAAAGATGCAGAGAGTAAAACGCTTACCATACAAGCAGGAAATGAGAAGATTCAAGAAGAGAAATTGGAAAGCCGCCCCTCCTGTAGCCATTAGAGTGACGCTATATATAGCTTGATGACAAAGAGATCCAAATGGGGAGAAAAATCCTTTGAACCCTGTAACTATCAACGAAGGGAATGAAACTTTTAGATTAATCAATCTTGAGTCGTGTTTCGGTCATATATATAAAAGAACTTATACCGCAATCTCAGATGTTGATCCAATGTGACGCCGACTTAACAGTAACACTTCCCAAGACAATGAAGGAGGGGGGTGGGGAGGGAAAGGTGATGAAGATAAAGGTGGGAGAGAGGGAAAGAAAAGAGAGAGCACAGTGGTAGCAGAAAGTAAAAGAGAAGAGAGAATATGATGTGTCGTGCAATGGTCAGGAAAAAGTTGCAATTGATTCCTTTGGCATGAAGAATGAATTTTGAAGTAGGAAATGCATGATTTTGCTTCTCCACTGTGGAAAAGCATAGAATATATTATTTCGTATACAAAATTATTTCCTTTTTCTTTTAGTTTCTTAGTTTATAGCCGGAATGGAGTGCTTGACAAATTGCATGCATGCACTATCTTATATTATACATGCACGTAGAAAGCAAAAGTTGGATCTTATCTTCAATGGTCTAATATAATATTAGGGGCAAAAGGCCATTTAATTTGTGGAGCCTTAATAATAACAACAACAACAACAATAATAATAATAATAATAATTATTGTTATTGTTGTGGTGGTGGTGTTGAGTGCTTGGCTTACATTGTATTTGGAGGTAAATTATGTTGGGGACTCGTGTCCACTATGCATTGTGGACACGAGTCCAAAATGACGTCGCTTTCAGGGAAAACGACGGCATTCCAATTAAAAAAAAATTGATTTTGTCTCGCCGTTAACGGCGTTATTCGTTTGTGGACTTATGAATGTATAGTTATAAAATTATGAATGTACAGTTATAAAATTATGAATGTATAGTTATTGAATTATGAACACAGAGCTATGACATTATGAACTTACAATTATGAACATATAGTTATAAAATTATGAACATAGAGCTCTAAAATTGTGAACATAGAGCTTCGAAAATTATGAATTTACAGTTATTGAATTATGAATGTACAGTTATTGAATTATGAATGTACAGTTACGGAATTATGAATATACAGTTATGGAATTATGAATGTACAATTATGAAATTATGAACACAGAGCTCTGACATTATGAACATACGATTATGAACATATAGTGATAAAATTATGAACATATGCTCCTATAATTATGAAAATGGGAGAATGAGCGTTGAAGAGAGCTTTTGTGTGAAGAAGAAATGGAAGCTTGATCGACAGGAAACTCGCGAAAATGGATGCTTTATCATCAGGAAAGAAGCGATCTGAAATTTAAAAAAAAAAAAAATGGTGGAAGATAACGGTGCACTTACGGCACCGTTACCGTGTCCACAATGTATGCTGGACTCGGGTCCATAGTATAACGATTGGTATATGGAGGGAAAGTTTCAGTAATTAACAGAACATAGTGAATTAGCAATCATTATTGTGTGGACTATATTTTGTCTACTGTAAAATAATGTACATTCAGTACAAACATAATGTACATTATATTCAGAGGATGTACATTATTTTTGTTCTGAGTGTACATTATATTGTATAATCTACATTCGGTACAAAAATAATGTACATTTAATATATTAAAAATGTACTTTTTATTATGGTCTACGTAACATTGTGTGGACCAATTTACGGTCAAGGTAGAGGGCGGGGTCGTCAATTAGAGAGATTAACACACGCTTAATTCTTACTCATTTACTTATAATAAAAACTGTTCAAGAATATGAGGTTTTCTTTCCTTAAACATGTTTAGTTAAGATATATGCTCAAGATCCTTGAATTGCCTTGTGTGAAAAGTTGTTTGTGCATAAGATCTTAGCTTCTAAAAAAAAAAGTATGGTATCTTATTCTATCTTGTGAGTTTAGTTGGCTAATTAAGGTTAAGGCATATATTTATGACTCTTTCCCATGTAGGCCGGAGATCAAAGGAATTAGTAGATGCTATAAATAAAATCTTGGATGGATTATTCATTGTACTCCAACACTACTACAGAAAACGGATTTAACGTCTACATTATAACGTTACTTTTTAGAAAATCCGACGTTAAATATTTAAAATTATTTTTTATTTTTTAAAAAATACATATGACGTCGGTTATTTGGTATGGCCGATGCCATATATCGAATAAAAAAAATAAATAAATAATAAATAGGAGATACGACGTCGGCGTATTATAACGCCGACGCCGTATCTCAAATAAAATATATATATGGTATACGGCGTCGGCGACGTATACCGCCGACGCTGTATACTCGAATTAAAATTAATAAATAAAAAATAAATAGGAGATACGACGTCGGCGAATTATTCACCGACGTCGGCGAATTATTCACCGACGCCGTATCTCCAATAAAAAAAAATGGTATACGACGTCGGCGACATATAACGCCGACGCCGTATACTCGAATTTAAAAAAAAATAAAAAATAAATAGGAGATACGACGTCAGCGAATTAATCTCCGACGCCGTATCTCCTCCAATAATAAAATAAATAAATAAATAAATATGGTATACGGCGTCGGCGACGTATAACGCCGACGCCGTATACTCGAATTTTTTTTTTTAAAAAAAATAAATAGGAGATACGACGTCGGCGTATTATATAGCCGACGCCGTATCTCCATTAACAAAAAAATAAATAAATATAATTATACGGCGTCGGATACGTACATAACCGACGCCGTATACAGTTCACTATGCCCTAGTATAGGCGAAACATTTTAGACGAACGACATATCACACGAATCACTCATCGACATTTCCTCCGCACGCCCTACGCCGCCATCGACCTTCGAATCTCTCCACCGCCACCTACGTCGTCGTCCTCGGCCTCGTTGTCGACGTCGCTCGCCGCCTCGCTACTGCCGCACGTCGACGCCGCCGCAACAGTCCCTGCCTAGCCGCTAGCCGCTCGCCGTCGTAGTGTTGAAGGTACGTGCATATATATATATATATATATATATATATATATATATATTATAAATCTTGTTTCTTGATTTTATTCTTTTTTTTTTTCCTTCTTCTTCTCCTTAAATTTATAATATAATGATGAACATCATTTTACTTGTATTGATTCCTAGAATTCATGTCATTCCTTTGATTTCCATCTGTCGCTGTTCTATCCTCTCTTTGTCCATTTGAAATGTGCACTTCTTGATGCTGACTGGATTTTGGATCAAGAACCGAAATGGACAACTCTGCCTAATTGGAATTGAATCCATATAATTTTAGGAATAATTGTGCTTGAAATTTTAGAACAAATATTATGAATATAATACATGATGATGTTATTGAATATATTGCACTAGTTGATACTCAATATAAAATGATTGTTTTGGACCAAGGCTCACCATGCTAGGTAAATATTGGTCCATAATTTGCCTTTTTCAAGTATATAACTTACCAAATAATTTAAGTGAACAAGCTAAGTGTGTATAATACATGATGATGTTATTGAATATATTGCTCTAGTTGATACTCAATATAAAATGACGTTGTTTTGGACCAAGGCCCACCATGCTAGGTGAATCTTGGTCCATAATTTGCCTTTTTCAAGTATAGAACTTACCAAATAATTTAAGTGAACAAGCTAAGTGTGTATAATACATGATGATGTTATTGAATATATTGCACTAGTTGATACTCAATATAAAATGACGTTGTTTTGGACCAAGGCCCACCATGCTAGGTGAATCATGGTCCATAATTTGCCTTTTTCAAGTATATAACTTACCAAATAATTTAAATGAACAAGCTAAGTGTGTATAAATTAAGTTAGACGTATATAAAGAAATTAAAACTCAATCTATTAATAATCCTTCAAATTTTGTTTTATTAGTTTTTGTGAATTATAAGGATTGTTGCTAAGTTCATATTCATAGATTTAATTTTTCGAATTTAATAATCAATTTTAAAACAAACTACATTATATAGTGTAGGAAAATGTTATGAGAAAAATGTAATACTAATAATGAATAAATTGTTTAATTCTTACTAATGAAAGAAATTATGATACTTATGAAAAAAAATGTAATACTTTTAAATCAAAATGTAATATTAGCTTAATTATTTAATTGGCCGAAATGAATATAGTGTAGTTGTTGTAGTAGTTATAATTATATAAATTTGTTAAAATGTTGTTAACAAATGTTTAACTAGGTTATTATTATTTTAGATTGGCTTTTGATGGATAAAAGTTGGATGAAAGCTAATCGACTTAGTCAGGGATATGAAGATGGAGTTAGAAATTTTTTACAGTTTGCAAATAATAACCTTCTGAATAGTAATAAGAGGTTCTTCTGTCCTTGTACGAAATGTTGTAATCAGAAAAGGTTAGGTGAAGAGGACATATATGATGATCTAATCGTTAATGGGATTAATCCATATTATACACAATGGATTTGGCACGGTGAAAGCGATGTGACTACAACATCTAACATGTATGTTAACAATGAAGATGATGAGTCTGAAGATCGGTTGGATGAAATGTTTCGCGATGTTGGAGAAGAGTTTACCAATCGGTCAAATGAGTTGGATGAATTATTGAATGATTCAAAACAACCTTTATGGCCAGGGTGTAGTAAATATACCAGATTATCTGCTCTATTAAAATTATTCAACTTGAAAGCTGGGAATGGGTGGAGCGACAAGAGCTTTACTGCGTTACTTAAAATAGTCAATGATATGCTTCCAGATGGTAATGAACTTCCCAAGAGTACATATGATGCCAAAAAGATGTTGTGTCCCATGGGTATGGGATACAAAAAGATACATGCTTGCCCTAACGATTGCATATTGTTTAGGAATGATTACAAAGACTTGCATGCATGTCCAATATGCGGGGCATCTCGTTATAAAACAAGAGAGAGTGGTAAAGTACGTTTGAAAAGTCCACCAGCTAAAGTTTTGTGGTATCTCCCAATTCTTCCAAGATTTAAGCGCATGTTTGCAAATCCAAGCGATGCGAAGAACTTATCATGGCATGCAGATGAAAGAATTTCCGATGGCAAGCTTCGACACCCGGCTGATTCTTCTCAATGGATAACATTTGATAATGCATTTCCTGAATTAGGCCACGAGTCGAGAAATCTTAGACTTGGACTTTGTACTGATGATATTAACCCCCACGGGAACCTAAGTAGCAAGCATAGCTCGTGGCCAGTTATGTTGATAATTTATAATCTACCCCCGTGGTTGTGT